TCTCTCTCTCTCTCTCTCTCTCTCTCTCAATTAAACGAAACAATTATACTGCATTCTATTGACCCTATACAACAGCAAGGTCCTGGGAAGTCCTGGGAAGTAGCCGTTCGGTCCACTTCAGCGAAAATTTCAAGGGTAAGCTTCTTCGTTTCTAACCTGTTAAAATATTTAGGTCCTTGATTTGTTTTCTTCAGTTACTTATTTTTTGTCGTTTATCACTTTTTGCTGATTCAGTTTGGCTAGATCCTTTGAATGACCACGCATGGAGCTCTCACAGGCCCGAAAATCCATGTATGATACGGCGTCGCGGCTTAAGATCATGGGGGATTGATTAGCAATTGCCCGCTGTTGAATCCTCGTGTGCATTCTTACGCAGCTACTGTTCTTTGACTTGCTTCGTGATGTAGCATTCTTAGCGCCTGATCTTGATGGTAAGCTCGTCCATTCACTTACTTTCATTTATTTTTTTTTTTAGCTTGTGATTCTTCTTGCTGGCTTTCTTTATTCGTTTTGTTATCTCTCTTATTAATACATGTCTCTCTTCTTTTAGCTGCTGAAATGTCGAAGCTGTTTATTTCTATATCCTTTTTCTTGATCTGCCACGCTTCTTAAGCTTTGTAACTTGGTTTTATGATCCTGATAACTAGTAACTGATAACTGATAACTTGTCCGTTCGTCCGCTACCGCCAATTTTCCCTAATTTTGTAACCTCTGTTCACTTTCTAGTATTGCTCTTGTAAAATACTAGCTTCTAACTTGCCTAACAAGCTCGTCTATTGATTCATTGCTGCTAATGTCATCGAATTTTATAATCCAGCTTTTGACCTTTCTAACACACGCACGCACGCATGCATGCATGCACACGCACACACACACACACACACACACACACACACACACACACACACACACACACACACACACACACACACACACACACACACACACACATACCACACACACACACACACACACACACACGATCTTTCATGTTTTCTTGTCCATTCATTTGCTACTGTCATTCTCATCCGGCATGTCTGCTCATGTTTTTATTGCAACTTTTCCAAATTGAAGGATCTGATACCATGCAATAATTCTGTGTTGTTGCCCGTGCAGCGACGCGGAAGATTAAATATAAGATTTGATGATCATAAATTTAACCTAAATACAGATGCTCCACGAATTGGACCATCATGCTATGTCGTGTGGTGATTTGTGTGCTCCAGTGGCTCCATAAATAAGTCTTAAAGATAAATATCTTGATTTCAAATTAAGCTGAACCGAGAGGCGAACGCGGAGCCGGTCCTAAGACTAAGCCATTTTGAGTCTGAACGGAATTTTTTTTTTACCACTCTCGGGCCCACACTTTCCCATAGGAGGAAATTGCTGTAAAAGTCAATACACTCATACGCGCACACGGTAACACACGCACACGGAAACACACGCACACGGAAACACACACACACACGCGCGCGCGCACGCATGCACACACGAATATACTTATAGACACGTTTATTCTGCTAACGTTTTGTAATAATGGAGGATACAGTATCTGACTTTTTGGGGTTAATATTTAGCTACGGCAGCGACAGAACAGGTTAGGTTAGAATAGGTTAGTGTGATATCTGCGCAGCTTGGTTAGGGATTAGTGTAGGAGAGTGTAGGATGAATTAGTGATTGGGATTGGGGTGGGGGTGAACTAGCAGAGGTCAGACTTGTCCACATTAGTATATTGCGGATATAAGATGAAACAGAATGTATACTGCATGTAAAAACAAAGAAATACTTAAAACACACACACATACAAACACACACGCACACACACACACACACACACACACACACACACACACACACACACACACACACACACACACACTCGCGCGCGCACACACACACACACACACACACACACACACACACACACACACACACACACACACACACACACTCACTCACTCACACGCACACGCACACACACACACACACACACACACACACACACACACACACACACACACACACATACACACACGCACGCACACACACGCACACACACACGCACACACACACACACGCACAAAAAAAAAAAAAAAAACACAGACCCTCCGTTTTTTATTTATTTATCTGTTTTCCTGTCGGTTATGCTCTCTCTCTCTCTCTCTCTCTCTCTCTCTTTCTCTTTTTTTCTCAATCATACATACGAAGCTGATACCTCGTGAAAAGGGTTGTTCCAGAGTAAGAATTTTGCTCTCGTGAGAATTCTAAACTAAAGAAAGGAAAATGTGTAGAGCTTAATTTTTTCATATTTTTCCTTCAAGGACAGTTGTGTCGTATTTGGTTGTGTGGCTGATTGATTATATGTGTAAATTTGTAGATAGAATCAGTATTAATAATGTATGAAGTGCGGTTAGTTTGTGCCAGCGCCCTCTATGTGGCTCAAAGGGACCCAGTATATAAAGGACAAATTTTTTGTGACTATACAGACGTATATATGATGTACAAAATAGTGTACATATTTTGGATTATATGTCTAGGTTGTGTATGTGCATAATAAAGTGATATTCTGGAATTTTTGTTCGTTTATTCTGATACTACGTAAAAAGAAAAAAAAACGGGATTTAAAGCTATATTTTTGAACTGAAAAAATAAAAACGAAAAAAAAAATACGATGTCAGAAGTGACCATTAAAATAATCGCAGAAAAAAATAATGGGATAACGGAATGTAAAGCGGAAGATTACTGAACTTCCACACATACAAAAACAAACAAAAAATAAAAAAACTTATAAATAAAAAATAGATAAATAAAATAAAAAAAGGAAACAAAAAAATAAATTCTATCTAGTTCTGGCGGAGCAGCTGCTCGTCAGGTAAGTCACTTCGGCGCTGAAATTTATCGTTTTAGTTTCAAGTTATAGGAGAGTCGCCGAAAAGATGAAATTGATAGCTCGGCCACTGAACACGTCGAAATCAAGAAGCAGTTGGTAGTTTCAGATAACATATCAAAGTATCGAAAAAAAGGGAAAAAAAGGTGAGTGATCATTAAATTCATGTACTCGTGTATTTGTAACCTAGAGTTTTATTTCGTGGAGGTTATTTGATACCAATAAAGGTTGAAAATAAAGAGAGGGAGAGAGGGGGGGAAGGGAAGGAGGGAGGAAGAGAGAGAGAGAGAGAGAGAGAGAGAGAGAGAGAGAGAGAGAGAGAGAGAGAGAGAGAGAGAGAGAGAGAGAGAGAGAGAGAGAGAGAGAGAGCAAGGGAGAGCTTGAGAGAGCAAGGGAGAGTGAGAGAGCAAGGGAGAGTGAGAGAGCAAGGGAGAGTGAGAGAGAGAGAGTGAGAGAGAGAGAGAGAGAGAGAGAGAGAGAGAGAGAGAGAGAGAGAGAGAGAGGTAGTTAACTACATATATAAATAGAGGATGGACAGAAAGATAGGTAGATTGAGAGACAGATAGATCTATAGATATATAGTTAGGTAGCTAACTGCATATATAAATATATAGATAGACAGAGATAGATATAGTGATGGAGATAGATAGATCGATAGATAGACAGGGCAGTAAGTAGGTAGCTAACTGCATAGATAAATAGACAGACAGATAAAGAATGAGAGAGAAACAGAGAGTGAGAGTAAAGTTAGGTAAGTTTATTTACCACCCTGGCTATCTGCTCAAGTATGGGCAATCGTGATTACAGTTTTACAGTTTGACATAGTACAGTATTATGTGACTACTGTAACTGAAAAATAAAAATAAAAATCATACATCATATAAAAAATAATACGTTGATATGCTTTTGCCACTGTGTTTACATAACATTGTTCCTTGTTTACGGCAGTTTTACAGAGTAAATTTAGGATATAGTACGAGTACATCTCCCAGTGTATCAGATGAAATGAAATATTCACATAGATCTTTATACCTCATGTTAGGTGGTCTAAAAGGCTGTATCACATGACATTCCGAAATATAGTGCTCAAACGTTCGCTTGTTTTCTTAGTTACACAGTCTACACCTAGACTCATCTGCACTTCTTGCACTGTGCAGTTGCCAGTACATTCTCTAACTTAAACGTAATCTGGCAGTAACCAAGTCACATTGCTTGGTTTGATTTCGGTGCCTTCCATAGGAAGGCTTGCTATCTCTATACTGATCGTAGTGCCTTATGGTACAGCTTTCAGGCCTTTGGGTGTTTGTCAGATCTACTAGTTCTTCCTTATGAGATCTTTTCAATATATGTGTACCCTTGCAAGAGGCATCCCAAGATCTATGTTCACAGTATCTTTGCTGCAGGCTTCCTTCGCCAATTTGTCTACGATGTCGTGCTTGCGCATGCCAACATAAGGTGGTATCCATATAAATTGAATGTTGAAATTGCGCTCTGTTGCATAAGTTACGTTACGCTTAATGCAACTCACAATTTCCTCATAGCCAGCTGCTTTGAAAGAATTTAGTGTCCGAAGAACACTATGAAAGTCACCGAAAACTACTCCAGAGCCCCGAAAAATTAAGAATTCCACTGCAAGGAGTATCCCTGCCAACTCCGTTTGTGTAGTGCTGGCCCAATTTTACACTCTCATATTAACTTGATGTTGTAGTAACCCATTTTTATATACAGCCCAAGCACAACCAGCTTTGTATCCAGACTGGGATTACTCAGTAATCTCAGCAAAGTCTGAAGGGTCGGTATCAGAACATTCAATCTCAATGACAAATTTACGTGCAATTTTAGACTAAGGTGATTCTGAATATTTGTGGGAAGTGAGCTCAATTTGGACGCTGCAGCCCATTGACTAGGGAGCATATCAGCTTGTGCAAGAGAGCTATGGAACTGAGGAGTGTTAGTTAGTTTGCCTGAGAGTCAATTATTTTTTTCCAGACCTTAGACATTGAGGTGTTATTGTTAATGTTTTATAGGAACTGTTGAGAGTGTTCATTTCTGATATGGGTTTATAATTCCCGTAGATTTATGTTAGCCTTAAGAAACTGAATAAGGTTATCAC